GATTCTCAACTCTTTGGCAGATATTCAATATTTTATGTTTTTCAACCAACCGCGGTTTTCGTCAAAAATCAACTCATATCTCTTGAACTATTCATTGCTGTGGAAATTCAAAAAAAGCATTGAAAAGAGGGTTAAATTTCCTTTAAGAAGACACCCTTGTTGAACTTGTAATTTAATTTACAGTAAGAAAACAAATACTAAATATTTCAAAAAAACTGCTAAATTTACAATTTGTAAAATAAACTGAATTTGCAAGCTTGGAAAAATTCACGGTACAGCTTGGCAAATTTCCTAACAACGTATTCGTTTAATAAGCTTTCTAGCGGTATATTCTATTCTCTAATTCATCGAACCAAAATGGAAAAATGTTGTGCTAAATGGAAAAAAGTGGTGACGATGTGAAAATGGGGGGTAAGTAATCCGACTTTTTGACCTAATCAACATTTATTTCCCAATTTTAACCTAACAAAAATTACAAAATAAAAAAATTAAACAATCAAACAAAAAAAAGTAAATCCAAAAAACACATAAAAAAGAAATAATGAACATAGAAAACAACCAAAGCAGAAAAATAGCATGAAATATTTACGCTAAACTAAAAAAAGAAAAGTTGTAAAACCCAAATTTAATCTGATAAAAAAAGCATCAAAAGAAAGAAAAATCCAACGTAAAAATTAAATTTTAATCCATTTACGTTTAGTTGTCTAATTGACCATTTCAATTATTTCAATTAATTATGCAAGGTCTTGGTTAAGATGAAAAAGTTAGTGTCACGAGCGGGATTCGAACCCACGACCTTCGCCTAAATCCGCCGCTGCTCTAACCACTTAAGTTATCGTGACTTCGATCCCCTCACTCACTGTAAAAAATTAAACAAAAAAAACCTAATAAACAAAGCGAACAACCAAATAGGAAAAATGGAATAAAATACTTACACTAAACAGAAACAAAAAATACAGAAGTTGTCAAACCCAACTTTGACCTAATAAAAAAATCCAAAAGAAAGAAATAGTCAACGTAAAAATCAAACGAAATACAGAAAAAAGACAATAAACATAGTGAATAACTAAAGGAGAAAAACTGAATAAAATATCTACACTAAACGCTGGCAAAAAAATATGAGAGTTCTAAAACAAAACTTTAATCTAATAAAAAGCACAAAAAGAAAGATTCAACGTAAAAATCAAACAAACAACACAAAATAAAGACAATAAACATAGTGAACAACCAACGAGGAAAAATGGAATAAAATATCTACACTAAACAGTGACAAAAAAATACAGAAGTTGTAAAACCCAACTTTCATCTAATAAAAAACCCAAAAAGAACAAAAAATTCAATGTAAAAATCATACAAAGCACATGAAAAATACAATAAACATAGGGAATAACAAAGGAGAAAAATTGAAACAAATATCTACACTAAACACTGGCAAAAACAATAGTTCTAATACAAAACTTTAACCTAATAAAAAGTAAGAAAAATTCAACGTAAAGAACGAACGAAACACATAAAAAAAGACAATAAACATAGTGAACAACCAAATTACGTGGAATTTTTTGTTTTTTAGTAGGTTGAAATCGGGTTTTACAACTTCTGTATTGTTGTTATTTTTTTATTTATGCTGATGTTTAGTGTCAGTATTGCAGATAAAATGTTGAATATCTGCAAAAGGGGTGAGAATCTGACCACGGTTCATACGAACTGTTTTGTTTCATTTGAGGGTGCATCTGGCAAATTTTATCCTACGAAAAGCGAACCACCCTTTACTGAGAAAATTTTAAAATTATAATAATAATTAATGTATCAATGCACATTTGATTTACATGTAGAAACGCTGATTTGCGATTACATCAAGCTCAACGAGCCGGATCACTAGCTTGTGTAAACAGGTCGCACGTTGATCCCTGAAACAATGGCAGCGTTTTTGTTTTCCATTTCAGCTTTTACTCGTGCGATAATTCATCGCGATCATAATTGTTTTGTCTTTCTTAGTTAAAAAGTTAGAAAAAGGTTAAGAATCAATCACAAGCGCGCTAGTTACTAACTTGATATTTTGTTTTTTGTTCGAGTTCTTAAACTTGCAAAGCTTTTAAGAATGTGAACACTTAAAAACGTGATAGGCATGTTTTTTCATCCTTAAACATTGCCCCAACAGGGTTTGAAATTTCGAACAATTGCCTCACATAATTCAATCGAAATTAGATAGTTTAGCTGCTGGAAGGCGAATGATTCCGGTCACGCTTGGCTCGAGTTAAGAAACAACCTGAAACCTCTATCAGAAATGTTCGTTTTGGGCAATTTTATGGTCCTATCTTATTACTACATGTGACCCGTACTGACCACCACTATTTATTTTTATACTAATTAGATTTTAAATTATTACACAATTTGTCGGAAAAAGTTACGCTAAAATTTACGTTTGAGGAATGATAATGAAATTTCTATAGCAATTCAAGCCATAGGTTTTTTTAATACACTTTAGTACTCGATTTAATCTTAATTGAATACCGCTTCTAGTCTTATGTTTATTATTTGATCAAGTAATATTTTGTAAATTTATTGACAATCATCTTGATATTTTATTTTATACAATTTTTTTTAAATATCTATCTGGGATCCTAGGGGAAATATTCCCAGGAAGGAAGAAGGGAGAATTACACAACTCCACGATTCACCTCTTAATCTTCGTAATCACAAAAGTACATGCCTTTTTCCGCTTCCTCCAAAAGAAAGAGCACCGCTTCCGTTCCAATGCCACACGGAAACAGGTGGCAATCAGTTTTTGTTTTTGTTTTGTAAACAGCCAATTTGACAAAATAATAACCAAGTTTGGAATTTTGTTAATTGGTCACGGGATAATTGACCGAATCCTGCGTTGAGAGCAGATGAGCATTGATGACTGTCGATTTTACACCTTTTTCACCATTTTCTAGAAAATATTATCGAACTGAAAAAACAAAAATAAGACTCGTTCTAGCTGAATAAATCATCTATTTGCTCATAGCAGATTGAAGAAACGTGCGACGTGTAATTATTTTAATAACATTGAATCACTCAAATGCAATCGCAAGTCAAACGTCCAACAATGCAGTATTTTAGTTCCCCTTGACCCAATATTTTTTTCTCACTTTAATAATATTGCATTGACCGTAACCGATGCTAATCTGAAAGCGATATGTCAGATGGGTGAGCACCACTTTCCAGCTGAAGTGCAATTGAAACTTGAGCCCACTCGATAAAACGATTTTTTAAACATTTTTTTGTGTCAGATAAAGTTTATACAAGGAATAACAATCTTTCTTGAATCTGGGTTCCCGAAAGACTACTTGTTCGGAATGTCCTGGGTTCGAGTCCTGGTCGTCACACTAATTTTTCAACGCAATTAAAATTTATAACAGTGATTATTCGGAGATCGTGAGATGCGGTTTGGTGTGACGTAGGTTTTAGAAAAACATTTTCTTTATCGTGCCAACGTTTCGATCTTTATTGAGATCATCTTCAGGGCCTGGGAAATATAAACACTGTTTAAATTTTACAAAATGGGAAAAAATTAATTTATACAATGCTAGAAATTTTAGATTAAAAAAACAAAGAAATAAATAAAATGAATTTATACAATGCTAGAAAATTTTAGACTAGAAAAAAATGAATTTATACAACCTAGAAAATTTTAGTTTTAACAAATGAATTTATACAACGCTAGAAAATTCATTTTTTTTATTCTAAAATTTTCTAGCATTGTACAAATGCATTTTTTTATCTAAAATTTTCTAGCATGGTATAAATTCATTTTTTTAATCTACAATTTTCTAGCATTATATAAATTCATCTTATTTATTTATTTATTTTTAATCTAAAATTTTCTAGCATTGTATAAATTTTTTTTTTAATCTAAAATATTTTAGCATTGTATAAATTCATCTTATTTATTTATTTATTTTTAATCTAAAATTTTCTAGAATTGTATAAATTTTTTTTTTAATCTAAAATATTTTAGCATTGTATAAATTCATCTTATTTATTTATTTATTTTTAATCTAAAATTTTCTAGCATTGTACAAATTCATTTTTTTATCTAAAATTTTCTAGCATTGTATAAATTCATCTTATTTATTTATTTATTTTTAATCTAAAATTTTAAATTCATTTTTTTATCTAAAATTTTCTAGCATTGTATAAATTCATCTTATTTATTTATTTATTTTTAATCTAAAATTTCTAGCATTGTATACATTCATTTTTTCACATCCTACATGTATTTGTAAAATTCAAGGAATGTTTATAAATCCCATGCTCTGAAGATGATCTCAATAAAGATCGAAACGTTGGCACGATAAAGAAAATTGTTTTTCCAAAACCTCCGTCACATCAGACCGCATCTCACGATCTCCGAATAATCATTGACTAACAGTCACTAAACACCACACATTTATAAAAATGATGTTTTCGTAAGACTTTTTTCAGCATGAAATTACTATTGAAATAAGCATACTGACTTACTGTTGACAAATTTTTAAAAACCAGAGGTAAACTTCATATCGTAATGAATTTATAACACACTTTATATTGTAATTTTTACCGTTTAAAAATTTTCTATAAACAATGGAAAATATTCTCCAAACTCCCAGGACATGTGTTCGATCATTTGCAGACTTATTACGAGCCAGGGACAAAGAACCGCCGTGGTGATTTCAGGACGGAGAACAAAATAGGAAGTGAAAGTAAGAAAGATAATGGCTTTATGGATTACCCGGCCGTTTTCCTTTTCTATCATAATTTAAAAACAAACGTGAGAATTACAAATGAATCGGGGACGGGAAGAAGAGAACGGAAAGGCGGCCCTTTTCTTTCCGGCATTGACGAGACAATGTCATCATTGGTGACAGATCGACCCGCCCGATAAAAGCCTTCTTGTGACATCTTATCCTTTATGATAAAACCTTCGGCCCAACCTTTGAACCTTATAATTATTTTATGCGACTGCTTATTAGGCTTACCGTCGTAATGGTTTGGCTGTTTTTTCTTTTTTGTAATCACTTTCACCTGTGGATGAACTTGGGTGCCCTTCGAAGTCGTTTCTGATAGTAATCTTGCCTCCCCGGAGCCTGAAAAAAATTGAACGTAAACATTAAAGAATATTACAGTTTAGAACATTAGGACAGATCCAATAATTCTTAATCTATCTCTCCTCTTCTTTTCTCACACTTTCTTTTTCTCTCTACCTCCCTCACTCCCTATATTTATTATTTATTAACATTTACGTTGACGTTTCGAGAATTTACACACATCATCAGCAATATTGTATAGTATCCGAATAATAATTTACTGTATCCATATCGGATTTTAAAAGATGTAACACTTTGCATCCAAAAAGGATTTAAATTCAATATGGATATAGTAAATTATTAGTCTAATAAACATTTTATCATTTTTTATGGTTTTTGTGTATGTTATGTTTTTTCTTTTTCTCGTTTCCACTCTGCTTTTGTTCTTACTCTCCTGCNCTCTCCCTCTCCCTCTTTAGATCTTTATATCTTTAAAATTTAGCTATGTCAGATCTATTGTATGTTACACACTACATGCTAAATTTTACTAAAATTGATTAAAGCTACGACGATCTATGAACCATAATTATTTTGTTTGCTTATTTTGTCTCTGTTCCAACTATCGCCTGGTTGGACAGTTCTGTAAGATTTGTATATAACTATACTATTTTCTCAATGTATGTTTTGTACTGTTAGCAATAAATAAAACAACATTACGTTAAAAAATTTGTATTTATTTAATTTTGTAAAATCCAACTCGTCGATTGTAAGAAAGGTTCATATGACTTAAATCTGCGAATATAAATAAACAAATAAAGTGTTTGAATTCAATTGTCACACAAAAACCCAGTTGGAAGGGACTTTTCCTTATTTGTTATTCGAAATAATTCACTCTCCGACAACGGTTACTAAATCGTAAAAGCATGTTAACATCAATTTCGTAAACCGTGTAGCAAGAATTGGCTCCTTTTTTTCTTATCCGTGTTTGACAACAAATCCTTTTCTCTACATTAAATTTGATGTTTTGTTTTTACCCTATACATAAATAATACATCGGAGGAATTATGTTTCTTTTAAAAAGAGATACATACCGAATTTAAGACCGTCTGTAGAATATTGGTCCTCGGGATCGTCCATTTCATCTATAAAAAAAGGAAAAATTAATATCCGAACCAAAAAGAAAAATTTAAACAAATAAAATTTGTGTAAACTATACAAAAAGATTCAGGTGACCGACGGTTGTTGATACGGAGGAGAAGGTGAGATATTTCAAACTAGGAGACCTTGGCGGTACTGACCTACATGTGACTATTTACTTCCTAGATGTTACATCTTTGGCATTATTATCTCAGTGTTTCAGGAAACCTTGCCATATCTTTCAGGAAGTTTTTAAGTTTTTGTTAAAAACTCCTCCGTGACTCCGTACACATTTATTTAGCCGTTTTTCCCAATTGGGAACTTAACTACACACTTTTGGCTTCGTAATGCCCCATAGGAAGTGAATTTTCAATCGGTTACTTCTGCATTTTTATCAGCCTCCTGGATTATAATTTTAAATATTTCCTTTTTTCTTAGCAATAGGTCGAACTTACATAGAAATGGGGAAAGAAATTTTTAAGCAATAAACTAATTGCTAATTAGTTTATAATTTTATAGTCTGTTTAGACTTATGACTACTAATAGTAAATAATTTTCTTTGATGATGAATCAGAGTTGTTTTCTGTACTGTCTTATTGTTTATACGATTCTGATATTACGTGAATATTAATATTTTCAGAGGTTTACGTCTGGTCGTGTTTCATTTAAAAAGATTCTGCCTGACCAAATTAAATTACACCCCCATAATGTTGAAGAAAATTGTTTATTGAAAAACCATAAATTTTTTATTTTTTTAACCATTTACAAGAGGTTAATGGAGACTTCAGGGAGTTGTTTGCTGGAAATACTTTTTGGGACATGGTAATTTTAATATTGGAGAAGAAGGCAGAAGAGGGTTGTAGGTGAACGGAAGAAGAAGGCAGAAGAATTCTTAGAGATTAAGATGAAGGTTGTAGGTGAACCGGTTCGAAGCTTTCCGATGAATTGATGTTGTAATTTTGATCTCATCAAACAGCCCAGGTTAATTGTGTCATTGTCACCGCCGAAAGACAAACAATAAATATCGATTTAATAAAGACGAACACCTTGTAACCTTCATGACCGTCCTCGAAAATTATTAATGTTCCTCGTCCGATCAACGAACATGACATAATCGATTGTTGGCAGAAAAGACCCCGGAACAACTTTCAAGACCCGATCGGACGCATTTCCAGCACATCTCGGCCGGACGAGTGGCCAGAGTTCGCGAAGGTGTGTCACTTTCACTCTCCTCCGGCTCTCAAGAGAATTCACTTTCCTCGAAGTAGCCCCGTCTCCCAACTGGCACACTTTACATAACCCACTTACACCACATGTTACTTAACACTGGTCGATTCCCCGTCCTATGCAGTCACATAAATTCTTCTTTTTTTTTAATGTACACACATATGACTAATGAGAGAACAGGTACCACTACGTGCCGTACCAGTAAAAAAACGTAACTCCAAAGGGAACCACATATCTTACAATATTCTTTGTGTTTTTCACAATTTGTCATCTTTTCAACAAATTAAAATAAAAAATTAATAATTTAAATATCACTTGTTTTTATGTTAACAATTAATCAATATAGTCACGTAGTAAGGGGTGTGTGTTGCACGCGCGCGCATGAACGAAGGGTCAACCTTTTTAACATTTCAAACTGTATCAACAGATAGAATATCTGCTGATATAGTTTGAAAAATTTTAGAAGGTTGATCCACGTTCCTGGGTTAGTCTGTTTGTTGTATGTGTGTAAGAGGGAGGAAAAGTGGATAGAGAGAGAGAGAGGAGAAAGAGAGAGAGAGACAGACAGAAAAAAAAAACGAGAGGAAGAGTGTGTGCATTATTGAGAAAAAATAAAGAAGAAAAAATAAAATATACAAGATTAAAAAAAGAAGAAAGAGTGTGGAAGAGTATTGAGAGATAGTTGCAGCAAAATGAAAAAATCAATGAGGGAGGGTAGAAAGAGACTGGGTGTGTGTTAGCTATTAAGAAAAAAATTGATGCAAGATAAAAAAGTTCTAGTGGAAAGAGTGTGATAGAACGTTGAGAGATAGTTAAAAATCAAGAAGAAACGTAAGAGAGGAGAGAGAGAGATAGAGATAGAGATAGATAGATAGAGAGAGAGAGAGAGAGAGAGAGCATGTGTGTGTGTGTGTGTGAGAGAGAAAGTAAGTGTGTACGCTAGTGTTATTGAGAAAAATACGTTATGCAAGATTAAAACTAAAATTTAAATTTAAAATTTAAATTTAAAATTTAAAAACTGACCATAAGTTTGTAAATAAAATTCATGTGAAAATTAACCCTAACAACATTTCCAATTACCATCCAAAGGCTATTGTCAACACGATCTAGGTTTTTCAATGGTCTTTCCATTGGTGTAATCAAATTTATCGTAGGACTAACATTTTATGAAATAAGAACAACCGGAAAAGTGCAATAACTCGAAACAAATTTAGCATATGACTTTGGACAATAGGGGCTAATTGTCCAATTTGACATGACCGTAAATACTAACGTATGTTCGTGGGACACCCTGTATATAATAACATAAACTCACGTATGTTTGAATAAAGTTCTGTAGGTGTATCTTTCATTGGACATGAACAATCCGAGAACTCTCTAGAAAATTTTGGAAGGTAACAACAGAATGCATCAAGCAGGAGAAACCTCGACTGAATGGACATTTTAAGAAGTTTGGTATAACCCAACACGGCAGATTCTGCAAAGATGCAGAGATGATACCAACACACCTATTAACCATCCGTGGCGCTATATTTGCCCGGAAAAGAAAGTGTAAAAAACCATAGAAAAAATTCAATCACTGAAACTAGACCAACTAATAAAGATCCTTGATGAGCTAGGACTCACCGGGGTCTGTAAGCACAGAACGGTGATATAATAACTCTAAAGTGCGCATTAAATTGCACATCCCGAATGAAACATCTACATCTACATCTAACACAAATACTACATGAAAAAATTTCCACTAATCGGACAAAATTCCTACATATAAGATTTTTTTTTAATTTTAAAAGCTACCACACGTTACTATTGCCTACAAAGATAAAACTACAAAATAAATTACTTTGTATAACAAGTTCTTATCAAACCTGTGGTCATGCGCTCAAATAATAATTTTCAAGACAATTTTAAAGGTGAACGGCTTTTTCAAACTTTTACGATTGCATAAGAAGAAATTGACAGCAACAACAGGTATATAACTTCTATATACATTTTTCTGCATGTGAATGTTGAAAATAATAGTATGCATTCAGCCAGAATTGCATGTATGTTTGTTTATTTTTGCGATCTAAGATTTGATATATAAATAAAATTCGTAAGTACTGAAAAGCAATTGCGAAGTGATAAATAGGTCATTTCCAGCAAGTTTTGATATGGTTTGAAATTTTTATTTGGTTATTGTAAAAAAAAAAAGGCATTTAATAAAGCAACTTTTGGCTTTATTTTGGCCACTTTAATTCATTTGAGAACTGATCAAAAACTAGAACAATGTCGAATCTATTACACTAGGGTAAAAAAAAGGGCCAATCACGCCTCCGATTTGAGTCGACTCGGGGAAGATTACAATTTAAAACATTAAGAAAAGGAAACGCGGAAGAAATTAAATCTGGCATTAAACAAAAAAAAATTAGGGAAGAAAAATGTCCAGAATTATAAACCTGACCTTCATTATAGCCGATAGATCCCAAAACCTTCGCGCTCCTTTTGCAGGCCTTCGATTTTTTTGATGTCAAACCGAGCCAACCGGGGTGTTTATCATTCAAAATATTCATTTATACGGATCTTTACCTGTAATAACTTTCTTAAGTTATTATCTGATTGCTATTGAAAATGTATTATCAAAATATTGTGTGTTTTTTGCGAATCATATTTTTAAATACAAATAAATTAAAACTGGTCAATGCACAAAAGTGATTAACTTCTTCATAGAACATATATATCATATAACTAACTTGTCTTTAAATCTAAGTATTAAAAATGGCAAGAAATAGAAATGAACAAAAACCAAAATGTGTACTTTTATGGAAGATTTCATGATATTTGATACATATAAACTCTCTTTTGTAAAAATATCCATAGAAATAATGGCCATATTGGACAAGAGTGAAACGTTCTATAATTTTAGTCCAAAAGGGCAAAAAAAAGTCAGAAAGATTTATTGAAGTTAAGCAGTCGTGTAAATTTTCGAAACAATGCTTTACCAATTTTACTGGATAATCCAAGGATTCAACTGAAGTTTTAATAAGGCGATTGATACATTTATTTAAACAAATTCGACTTTCGTTTTCTGCACATCGAAAAAACACCAGAACACAAATTTGTAATACAATCCAAAAACAAAATTCATTTTTTATCCAATCTTTCGCCTTCTAATGCCTACAATTTTGGTTAAAAAAATCGTATAAATTGTGATAACTTTGAAAAGAAATTGACTCAGGTAAATTTTCAAAGTTTTACTTTATAGAGTACGAGAAAAGACATAAACCTGGTCTCTGTAAATAAATTAGAACCAGAGATATAAAATAAAAATTTTGAATAGTTTTTGTCGATTTCACCCTTATATTTCTCATTTATAATGACTTAAAAAAATCTTATAGCCTGATAGAACAGATATTCAGCTTTCCATCTGTTGTATTAAAGTAGAATTTGAATAAAATACATAGGAATTATGACGTTTTAAATGGATCGCAGGACATCGCCGAGAGAGAAAAAAATTACCCCGATGGATCGTACCAAAAAACTACATATTTTTTCCAAAAATCGCAATAATTGTATTAAATTTAAACGAGTGCCCTAAACTGCATGAAACTTTACAGAAGTTTAGAACATTTTAAACTGTAGTAATGGTTCAAACCTGGCCATTGTAAATAAAGGAAGACCGAAAATATAAAATAAACGGTTTGAGGAGTTTTCATAGATTTTATCCATTTCTTTTATAATGACATAAAAACTAAACGTTTTCATATAGGATAGAACAAGAGAAATTCAACTTTCCATCAATTGTACTAACGTTGAATTTGGATAAAATCTGGAGGAATTGCAAAATTTTAATGATGAATGATGAACAAGTTTGTTTTAATTGTTGTCTAAAACCGGAGGCACCAGGTGAATCAAACGAAAAACTTTTTATCCTTTCAAAAATCACAATAAAGTTTAAAGGGGCGTCGGTGGCCGCAACGGTTTAGTCGTTGACACGGCGCTCATCTCAGTAAGGTAAAGGCCCCGGGTTCGAATCCAGCGGCCCTGCATTCGAACCCGAAATACATACAAATCTGCTCTTTTTCAAAAAACACCGGCACCCCAGGGTTGATATAACCTCCGCTGTAGCGAACCCTCGTAAAAAAAAATAAATAAATAAAAAGTTTAACACGAATGTACATGAAACTTTGCAGAACCATATAAATTATACGTAATGATTCAAACCTGACCTTTGTAAATAAATCAAGATCGGAAATATAAAATAAAACATTTGAGGAGTTTTTGTTAATTTTATCCATATTTACAATTTATACTGACATAAAAACTAAACGTTTTCATACAAGAAAAATGAAGAGATATTCAGCTTTTCACCAGTTGTAGTAATCATAAATTTGGGTAAAATTCAGGAAACTTATGAATTTTTATAGTGGAACACCTGACATTAGAGAAAAAAGTTCCCCCGCCGACTGATCGAACCTAAAAATGTCTAAATTTTGTTTGCTATAAAAATTCGTATATAAGGGCTTTAAAGTGTGCTTAAAACGAATCCGAATAATTTTTCTTTAAAAAAATTTTTTTTACATAGTTTACTGAAAGCGTCTTTTGGTTTTTGCCACTTTTTGTATATCTAGTTTCATTTCATACGTCCTTACATATTGTTTACCTATCCTATGTACAAAAATAAATCGATTGGTATATAAAAACCTTGAAATACATGTACAACAATGAAAAAACAATTATATTTAAAAAATTATACCACCAAAAAGATTACTTAAAATTGAAGATTCCAAGTCCCAAGGTTTCCCTTGAAAGTGTTAATTTAGAAATCTTCCAGGCTTTGAATCAAAACGCATCTTTGAATTTTCTCTGGAGGTGCATAAAAATTGATGATCCCTAGACATTAATCTTTCTTGGATATATTTAACTTGGCTTTAAGCATTGCGATTTCTGCGATACTGCCTTCGTGAATTTTGAGTTTTTTTCATTTAAGACGACCTGAAGATCTGGACATCTGTGCGATTGATGTCACTGCACTTATCTTACAAGGATAAAATATCAACTAATTGAAGTTCAGTTATTATTGTCTTGATTTTAATATACGAGTCGCTGGAACAATCTAAATTGTTCTTTGAAATTCGCCGTCTTTAAATAATTGACGTCAAAGAATTCACGGATTTTCGTATGAAGTAATAAATGCGAGAATTGTGAAACGTCAATAAGCGGTGGCTGGCATTGGAGCTCATTTGCGCTTTTTTAAAACACCCAGACCGTGTGTTCTGTTCAAAACCAGGCGACATTGTCTTGATTTTTTTTTTAATTAATTGCAACAACAGCAGTTGCAACCGTAGAACCAAAAAAGGAAATGACCCGACCTTTGTACGGCGATTGACGATATTTCCAAAGTTCGCCCTTCTCGCCGATATCGTACTTCCTTTAACGAAGGACGTACCGATTTTTGTTTACCCCAATTAGTCATCAGTAAAACCGGTTGTGGCGTTTTTACTGGAAATCAAATATAGTCCGTACGCGTTAAATATGCCAATGGGAAATTTTCAAAAAATGCCTGTCACTCATAGTAAAAGCGTAAAAAATTGCCTTTTGTATATATTTTGAAACCGTTGTATGATTTGTAAAACGGTCAAAAAAACATAAATGATATTCGATTATTAATCAATTCATTCAATCCAGAACAATTTAATAAAAAAAATTATCCGCCATAATTACCGGCTAAGTGTTATTTACAAGTGTAAATACAGTGGTAGGTGAGATAATTAATTTTCACGTCGTCCATACCATAAATATCAATTATATTTTTAATAGCGTAGCTGGTACACGCTAAATGTAAATTTTCCAATGTTACTCAAAAGATAATTAATGCAATATCAATCGGCACGTGGGGAGGGGGTCACAATCTCGCTTTTCTTCTATCGAAATTCATTTGCAATAAAAAAAAAACACAATAATTTACAGGTTTCCTGAAGAAATTGAACTGCACCAACCTTTTTATTTTTATTTTAGGCGCTCATCCTTGTAACGTAAAGGACCCGGAGGAAACTTACTTACGAATAAGCTTTTTTCCAAAAACACCGGCAGCCCGAGAATTCATATATCCTCGTAGTTAAAATACTCTCGTTTATGTATATATATATATATATACATAGTTTACTCAAAGCGTCTTTTGGTTTTTGTCACTTTTTGTATATCTACTTTCATTTAATACGTCCTTACATATTATTTTCCNTAAATTACATTAGAGATAACTGAGCTTTGATAAATTTCGTAGTTTTGTTTTTGTCGGCCGTAGTGGAAAAAGTATGGTAGCTTGTTGGAATTGAAAGAAATTTTTACATTTAGAAATTTCGTCCGATTTGTTTGTAATTTGCCATAAAGTACTTGTATAAGCTAGACATATGTGTATTATACAGAGTATCCCATGAGCATATGTAAATAGGAGGTCGTATCAAATTGGACTAAAAATCGTCCAGGCATCAAACGGATTTTTTAAATTTGTTTTATAAAAAAAATTAAATCTTTAGTAATTGAACATTACTTGAACATTAGAGATAGTTGATATTTGATAAATTAAGTACGTGTGTTTTAAGTCCATTGGTAGGGGCAACCGGACCAACAAAATCTTACTTTAAGATCTGAATCATTATAAAGATTATTGTATACTGAACATGAAGCAGGGTTCGAAATATATAAAATTTGTAAAAAGATTACTGTATGTAACTTTTTTTATTAAAAAAACCTACAAAATCTTTAAACTTTAGGCAAAAAGTTAAGAAACTCGTAAAAGTCTTCTAGATGATTTTTTTTTATTTTGTTTGCTTTAAGTTAACTGCTGTGCTATGAGGGGGCGAGCATAAGCTCCGAAACACATGACCAAAAATAAAAAATACTTTAAAAGGTTGGTCCAGTTGAGTTTAATCAAGAAAAAATGCTAGTAGTTGGAAGACAATTTACAGATCAGAATTTTTTTAAGCAGTTTA